TTAATATTAACACAAATAGTATTTATTCAAGTTCAATTTGAAATATATATATATAAAAGTAAAAAGACTTTAATTGATTTCATTTGCTGCTAGTCGACCGCACAGTTCGGCTACTCCAACACGACTCCTCGTTCTTTCTCTCGTTCTGCTTTGCGTACGTGACATTAGCTAGTTTCAGAATATGCGCATATGGATATTAAAAATCTCCTGAGTATGTACTACATATAAATGAGGACAGCTTCATAAACATATCTTTTACATAAGCTTAAATCATTTAAGGTGCCATTATTCCCCTCCCACTTAGGCACCTCGAAAATATAGGCTTTCAACCTTTCAACAGATTATTTGGAAGCCAAAAACCCTTAACCACGAAATTTTGTTTTGATTTGAGGAAATAAAAACAAGATATTAGTTGTCAGGTTGTGGGTGTACGTCAACGACGATCAAATCTCTGTCTTGCATTATTAGTTCAAATAGAACGTCTGAGTTTGGACGGCATTCACAGATTTTGCCGATTTTCAAAATGTCAGATTGAACCAGACAACACCTACTAGTCGCAGAAAATATGTAGCTGCCCTTGCATATAGAAATACAAAGGGATGAGTCACAAGGCTGTTGATTTATTTAGCCGACATATTGATAATATATGAGATACAAATGGTAGCTCCTCTACATGATTTCTTATTAAATCAACAGCTGCATGTAAACTTGTATAAACCCCGATACATATAGTATGTACATATATGTATAATTTGATGCGTAAAATGGCGAACGAAATATAGTCTGGATTTAAACACAAAGCAGAACAAAGAACTTAAAGAATTCAAAAAGCGGAAAAAATTTTGCGTGCAAATTAATGGAAACACTCAAACGCAAAATTAATGGAGGCAAAGGAAATGTAAAAAATAAAATTAAAAAAAAAAATAAATTGTCATAATAAATTTGTAATCAGGAAAAATAAGCAAAGCTAAAAGATAAACACGGCAATAAATTGCAGATCAATCACATTCCAACATACATACATAAATATTGAAAACTCATAGGAACATTTCCGATTTCTAGATGATTTACATTCACATAAGTGTATAAGCAAGTAATTCATTGTCTTAACTGTGCAATAAAATTTTGAAATTGAAACAAAGAATAGCAAATCACATAAAAAAAAACCAAAGATAAAATACAGAACTCATTCGCCCGCTGCAGTGGTGAAATGCAAAAACGAACGAATTACCTGTCTGCGAACTGGGGAGGCTGATCTTGCGTATTATAGCTATAAAAGAATAATGTTGGAAATAAAATATTTATATTTGTCCAAAAGAAAATCATAAAAGATAACAAAAAAAAAAAACAAATAAATAAAACGAAAAGTGTGTGACTAAAACTAGCACTAAAAACAATTTTGAAAAAAACGTAATTTATTTTGGAAAATTCAACTTTACAGCAAATAGTTATGAATACAAAAAAGAATGGAAAAAAGTTTGCAGTGCGATAGGCAAGAAGAAAAACGACACGACAAAGCGACGTTTGCGTTTATACTAAATATATGTATATTAAGTGTATAACTGTTATTTGGAGGAACTTAGATTGTTAAAAATCCTACAACTTTGCTTTGTACATATTTACAATAAAAGAATATAAACAATAAGTACATGTATTAAATATTAAAATTACACCAATCGAATTATTGCTAAAATAAACCAAATAAGACGTGTACATATCTATGTACATAGTATGTATTTATGTAGTATTTATAAAGTAATCAAAATTGAAAACTTGCTCCTAAAATCTACATTAGAACAAAAATATCGAAATTCGATAACCCTCTACAAATTATTAGAGAACTGTGTTTAGCCTATGAGTAAGTACTCTTCTAATAGCAAAACAAAAGCCGTAACAGATCAAACTTACCAGCAATGGTCTTTCGATTCTCGTGCTCAATCGTACCGAAACGATTACGTTCGTGTACGGTTTTCAGAAAACGGCGAGTTGTTGTCGGGAATGATTGACCAGAATGTAACATATAGCGCTCGCGTAATTCCAACGCTTGTATTAGTAGGGTGGAGGCGCGTTCTAAATCCTCCAATGGCACACCGCTAGTATCCTCACCAGAAATGGAGACACGCTGAAAATTGGGCAAATCGTGCTCCTCTGCATCGACGGTCTCCATTGTCGCTAAACTCTCATCACTGGTCAATGATGTATATTTTTCCGCTACATTAGCGGGTCGGCTAGAAAACCCAAAAAAAAAAAGAAAAATGGAAATGATCAAGAAAATTATTAAAAAATTTTGTTAAAGCTCGTCGGCTTAATAGCTACAGTAGTTTATGTGTTTATGACATTTTTTTTAAACATTGAACTTTTGAAATGTATTCTAATTGGGTTGTTGGTGTTTCTGACTGGGTAGGAGTATGATTTATTGTGGAACGATTTTTCGTCATACCTTGTCAAATTTTAATTGTACTTTTTGAGCTTGTAAGCTGAAGAAAGCAGTACCAGCTGACTGAAACCATGTTTCAATAATTAAAGGTTTGCTCACTAGTGACATTAGAGTTT